AACCTTGCAAACTCAGACTCTTTCAGAAGAACTGCCAAAGCCTCTGCGTCACAAGGAAACCCCATTCATCACCAAGCTCTCCCAAAAGATGTCAGCCGAACGACCAATCAGCAACGCGGTGATTTCCCCGCTGCTGGAGACGAGCCAACAAGGGAAACCCCTCTCAGCTGTCACCAAAACCAAGTAAACAAACAAAGCTTAATCTCTTGCTGAACTGGTGCTGAATTGATCTTAAGCAGTAAAGATAAGACAAATCTCTGCTTTGTGATTCTCTCAGGTTGCAAGTTAAAGAACTGTAGCGAATATCTTACTTTTTGGGACTTCATGCAAACTCTGTTAATCATCATCCTGTGTGTGTGTGTGTATGTGTGTGTATGTGTGTTTGCATTACTTTAGTTTAATGTAATCTAGATAGAAAAAAGGCTTTTTCCCATATGCGTCTTAAGCAAGACGCAGTACCAGTGAAGTATCGAAAGGGAACCCTAGAATGTGATCAATGTGTTTAAAATAGCTGGGCTAAGATATATAACAATTTTTATGACTGCAGAAATATGTGAATTCAGTACTCACCTTATCCCACCGGTCACAATTGTGACCAACCATAAAACACAATTTTTCACACACTTTTCCCCAAAAATTAAAAAAAATTATTGATTATTTCAAAGGGTTACTAATGACACATCATTTGGATATTTTCATGTCTGGGAAAAATTTGGGATTAAACGGGTTAAGTGACCTTTCATTTAATTAATATTACAGTATCAGTTATGAAGAATTTACAGTAAGGCGCTTACAATTTGAAGCACACTACAAGTGCACATTCAATACAATTAAGCCCACTTCTTTTTCACAAGGGGATCCCTGTACTTGTTTATTCTGCAAATAAACTTCCAAAACTGCTAAATACACTTTGCAATAATAATAAAATTAATCATTAAGCTATACATCAACATCATTACATAACGCTTCTCAGAGCAGTACTTTGTTCAGATATAATCAAATGTTTATTTGTTTTATTTATGTTTATCTTGAATGATGTTACACATTGTACAGTCTTATAATGTGCGTTTATGTTATTAATTTAAAAGTGTTATCAGAATGAATTGAGGTTTTTACACACTCGTTCATTCACTCATGAGTGGACAAACATAAAGATCAAGAGTCTAACAGCAGAGCAAAAAGTTTGTCTGTGTTTCTAAGGCCAATAGGAATGTGTGGTTTTTGTTTATGTGTGGCTTCAGATGGTTCAAAATCTTTCTCTAAATGTGTAATATTTTAAATACTTGATAAATCATTTATGCTTGCAAGACATTAATGCACAGATTTTAATTAAGTGTGTATCAAGTGCATAAGACATAATACAAATAAATGATGACAAAATGATCACTTTTGGTGAACTTGTGAAGAACTTGTTAAATGAAAAGCTTGAAGAAAGACACTTTCATGACTGTGCTTCTTAGCACACTTAAGCACACTTTAAAAAAAGTGCACTTTGAAAGTTTTACTTTAAAGTATATTTTAAATCATTATGTTTTAATAATATTTTTGTTGCGCTTTAAAGAAGTACACTTATTTTGATGTGTTGACGAACATACTAAAGCACATGTGAAGTCCTTTTAACTTTAATGTGTTATTAGATATTAGATTTAAAGTTTACATGTACAGTTTGAATAGAAATTAAATTAAATTATATTTCAGTTTACCACAAATGCTTGTCAGCACATTCAGCATTACACTTTAACCACATTTCTTTAAACAACAGAATACAAAGGTAGCCTAACTCAAGTCCTACTAGTGTGTGAAAATAGAATTCTAGTTCTAGTTCAGCTAATTGCATTTAATATGAATTTAAAATATAATACATTTTAATTTAACTGTAAACAAATAACATCCAATTAAGTGTCATAAAACATCACATCCAGTTGACACTTAAAGGGTTAGTTCACCCAAAAATCAAAATTCTGTCATTAATTACTCACCCTCGTGTTGTTCGAAACCTGAAAGACCTTCGTTCGTCTTCGGAACACAATTTAAGATATTTTTGGTGAAATATGAGGGCTCTCTGACCCTCCCATAGACAGCAAGGTCACTACCACGTTGACTTCTTCGGAACACAATTTAAGATATTTTTGATGAAATATGAGGGCTCTCTGACCCTCCCATAGACAGCAAGGTAACTACCACGTTCAAGGTCCAGAAAAGTACCAAGATGATCGACAAAGTAGTCACATCAGTGTGACATCAGTGGTTCAACTGTAAAGTTACGAAGCTACGAGAATACTTTTTTGCGTATTCTTTTTTTAATTTGTGGGTGAACTAACCCTTTAAGTATATTCTTTTAAATTGTAAAATCCCTTATAAATGCACTTCTTTTCCACATGGAATCTCTCTAAAAGACAGATTTGAACAGATTTCATAGTACTTTATTCAGCCTTCAGACAAACATCTGCCTTCCACTGTTCATCTCTTCATTTCTTCCTCTCTGTTAAGAAAGAAGAGAGTAAGTTTGTGCATTATCTGACACACCAAAGCAATCCAGATACCTCTGATATGGCAGCTGAATTGTTCAGTTGTCTGCCCACTCACAATGGTGCACTTAAACTGTCGTGTCTCCTCTTCTTCCAGCTGATGATTCTCTTGATGTTCTGGCGTCCTGGTGTCTCTATGAGCCTGTGATAGGTCTGCATCATGCTGAGCGCACGAGCGCTGCCCGCACACACCCGAGCCTTCTGCAGCCTGACCACCGACGCCAGATTACACGCAATCTCATACGCACGTCCAAAATGTTCATGAGCTCCATCATACCGCTTCTATGTACAGAAATAAACATGCAGATACACAGGAATACTAAAACTCTATAAACACTCCTAAAGTTCACAAGGATCTCATGCAACACATGCTAATGATGCCTTAAAAGGCTCTCTATATAGGCAGCTCACTAGGGTTTGGGACACAACTTCTTAACCCACATGTAGATTTAAATCTAAGCTCTCTGTCTCTTACTCTCAAGCTGAGGATGTTTCCAAGGCACATGCAGGCTTTCTCGAGGTTTCTGTCCTGTTTGCTGCTTAGAGAAATCTCTGCAAACTTCTCCAAATATTCAGTTGCCTCTGTTAGTTTGCCTTCACTGTAACACACAAACACACAGAAGCTTTAGAAAGAAATGGTTACTGATAAGTCATAGTTGATCAGTTATCAGGGTCCAAGTACCATAATCACATTTTAATTTACCAAAAACCACTGACTATTCAGTACTAGGAGTCATTCTATTAAAACCAACTAATTTACATTCACCATGTAGACACATGTTGCTGTACTGCCACCTCATGGCTAAAGTCCATACCTTACATATAGCAGTCAAAAGTATAGACACTCTCATTGTAAATTTTAAAATAATAGTCTTATGAAATATTAAGCCACATTTTAAAAATAATGTTATTAAATGAAAGTATGAGAATCATGGCGTGACCAAAAATGCAAACAAAAACTTATATTTGAGCTTCTTTGTCTTTATTCCTGCTCTGCTTATTCTGGACATTAAAGAAATGTTTTATATTTTGTCATGTAAGTCTTCACTGGAGGAAGTAATATTATGGACAGAGCACATAGTTTAGCTATAAGCAAAGGTTTGAAGTTAAACCGTCTTAATGATATATTTGTTTCTTACAAACATGCAACTTTTCACTTCACAAGATGTTACAGTTGAGGTCAAAAGTTTACATCCCCTTTCAGAATCTGCAAAATCTTAATTATTTTACCAACATAAGAGGGATCATACAAAATGCATGTTACTGTTTATTTAGTACTGACCTGAACAAGATATTTCACATAAAAGATGTTTACATATAGTCCACAACAGAAAATAATAGCTGAATTTATAAAAATGACCCCGTTCAAAAGTTACAACTGAGGGACTCATATGCAACTATTACAGAAGGTGCAAACGCTCACTGATGCTCCAGAAGAAAAAAAACATGCATTAAGAGTGAAAAGTGGGGGTGAAAACTTTTGAACAGAATGGAGATTCTTATTTTCCCTAAATATAATATTTTTTCATTAAGTACTGCCCTTCAGAGGCTACAGAATATAGTTACATGTTTCCCAGAAGACAAAATAAGTTTAATTTACCCTGATCTTCAAATTCAAAAAGTTTTCCCCCCCCCCCCGGCTCTTATGCATGTTTTTTTCTTCTGGAGCATCAGTGAGCGTTTGAACCTTCTGTAATAGTTGCATATGAGTCCCTCAGTTGTCCTCAGTGTGAAATGATGGATCTCAAAATCATACAATCATTGTTGGAAAGGGTTCAAATACACAAAAATGTATTTGCAAAACCAAAGAATTTGTGGGACCTGAAGGATTTTTCTGAAGAACAGCAGGAAGTTTAACTGTTCAGGACAAACAAGGGACTCTTGAACAACTATCACTAAACGGAAAAAAAAAAAAAAACACACAGCTGTGGATCATTCAAGTAACAACACAGTATTAAGAATCAATAAACTTTTGAACGGGGTCATTTTTATAAATTCAGTGATTATTTTCTCTTGTGGACTATATGTAAACACCTTTTATTTGAAATATCTTATTCAGGTCAGTACTAAATAAACAATAACATGCATTTTGTATGATCCCTCTTATTTTGTTAAAATAATTAACATTTTGCAGATTCTGAAAGGGGGAT